AATGAGGATAAAACCGAAATATTATTTCTTCGTAGCAGCGCATGCAATGATATTGACAATATCAGAATAAACATCAATGGCCACGAAATATCAGCCCAAACTAAAATAAAAAATTTAGGTGTGGTGCTAGATCAAGATATGTCAATGAAATACCATGTATCCAATCTTTGTAAAAATCTATATCTCCAGCTGAAGAAAATAGGGAGCATTAGAAAATATATATCTGTTGTTGTCACCAAAACTTTAATAACATCACTTATATTGTCAAGGATTGATTATTGCAATTCCTTACTGGCAGGTGTACCTGATGAACAGTTACAACAACTACAAAGAGTACAAAATATTGCTGCCAAAATAATTACTAAAAAACTAAAGCATGATCATGTGACTCCTATTTTGAAAGCATTGCACTGGCCCCCAGTGAAAGATCGTATCATATATAAAAATCTGTTTAACTTGCTACAAGTGCTTAAATGGTTTATCACCGGACTATCTAAAACAGCTTTTAACATCCTATGTGCCTCATAGAACGCTCAGACCATCAAGTGACAAAACAACCCTTGTTAAGCCTAAAATAAATTACAAATCATATGGCCAACGCTCTTTTTCATATTTTGCCCCACTTGTTTGGAATAGGCTTCCAAAAACTATCAGAGAAGCAGAAAATCTAGAAATTTTAAAGAAGAAACTAAAATCATTTCTATTTTCATCATATTTCGATTAGACAGATTGCATCCAAGCTGTAGATCGTTGTGAGTTTGTATGTGCGTATGTGCACATGTACGTATGTGTGTATGTATGTATGTATGTATGTATGTATGTATGTATGTATGTATGTATGTATGTATGTATGTATGTATGTAGGTATGTAGGTAGGTAGGTAGGTAGGTAGGTAGGTAGGTAGGCAGGCAGGCAGGCAGGCAGGCAGGCAGGCAGGCAGGCAGGCAGGCAGGCAGGCAGGCAGGCAGGCATGCAGGCATGCATGCATGCAGGCATGCATGCATGCATGCATGCATGTAGGTAGGTAGGTAGGTAGGTAGGTAGGTAGGTAGGTAGGTAGGTAGGTAGGTAGGTAGGTAGGTAGGTAGGTAGGTAGGTAGGTAGGTAGGTAGGTAGGTATGTATGTATGTATGTATGTGTGGTGCGTGCGTGAGTGAATATGTGTTTGCATGAGTATGTAACACTATGTACCTTTAAAATTGATTTGTAAATCCATAATATGTATCATGTTAAGCGCATAGAACATTGCATAAGTGGATATGCGCTATATAAATGCAATCCATTATTATTATTGTTATTATTATTATTATTATTATTATTATTATTATTATTATTATTATTATTATTATTATTATTATTATTATTATGTATTGCCTTTGACTGCCACAGCAGAAACGACTACTAAATGACGACAGTCTTGCTGTCACTTCTTTGGAACATGTTTACCGAATAAATAATAAAATAAATCAATAAAAATTCCTCTTTATTAACGGATCCCCTGGAAAATTTACTTTAGTTTTAGTTTTAGTAGAGGTTTTACTGCGCTCACAACTGCATAAGGTCATAATATGGAAGAATGGGAGATAAGGACAATAGATGTTTGATCGGAAAGAAGAAGCAAACAACACCAGAGCACCCACCAACCACCCACAATAATTTATTTTACAAGGGCGTACAGAAACACACAAATAATAAAGTTATATTATTACATACATGCCTGAATAATACACAGTATATCCAGGGTTGGGTTGATTTAAATCAGGTCGATTTAAATCAGATGATTTTTTAAATTTAAATCAACTTGATTTTTAAAATAAAAATCAGTGATTTAAATCACTTTTTTTTAAAAATGTAGTTTTATTCAGTTTTTACATATTTCAACATTCAGAATTCCTTTCCTTGGTTTCATAAAACAGATATAAGGTTTAGCAGACTAATATAATCATGCTTAAAAGTCTGTTTTCCCCCCTTTCACTGTAAAATAATACAGTATTCAATTTACTTTTTTTTTCCATAATTGAAATCAAAGCTGGGTTGCAGTTGATTTTTATTTATATTTTAGTCAACTAGATTTTAAAGATAAAAATCAGTGATTTAAATAACTTTTTTTTAAATGTATTCAATTTTTACATACCTAAACATTCAGA